TAATAAAAGAGGTCAATGTTGCAATATACAGTATAAACTATAATGTAGGATGTAAAATTAGCGCAAAAAGGGCTCGTTGTTTTAACACCAGTATGCAACTGTGTACATAAGTGTTCATTCAGAAAGGAATTGAGAATGAGCTTGAAATTCAAATTCAATACAGAAAATTAGTTGAAAACAGAGTGCAGAATTACAATTCAAATAAGAATGTAAGGAAGTCGAATTAAAATGGCACAAAAATTCATAAATATAGTGCAGGTGCAGCCAGAGCTGTAGAAAGGATATCTAAAATACCAAAGTGAAAAATATTAGCTCTTCCTAGGTGTGCTCCGTAATGGATCATGGTTACTGGAGCTGCAGAAAAACTACAGATGCTCCCCAGGTTATGATGGGGTTACATTCCAACAGACCTATAGTAATGTGGTCTGGCAGAAACGTCAGTGACATCTTTATTTTGGTCCAGTAGTGGGATTGGTCCTCTGGTACAGTAATTGCCAGTGCTATTTAGGCAGAGAAAAGCTGTGGTTGAATGATTGGGACTGATGGTGGTAGTTGTGCATCTTCCCCCTTTCTCTTCTGTTGGCGTAGCTTTCGTTTGGTACGTCTTAATTAGGGGGTTGTGGTTTCTTAATCATTTCTATTGTTGGGTTTATTTTTCTTTTGTTTGGTGTAGTTTTCTAGCCGCAGCCTTCGGTTTTGTGGCTTTCCTTGCTCCTTTCGTGGTTTCTTGTAGCGCAGGTATGTGGCTTGTCTTATTGTAATGTTTGTTTGTATGCATTTATTTACATTGGTTTTGTGTTTTGTAGCATGGAGTTATGACTTCGCCTTCCATTATCCCGGAGGGGTGTATTGGTTCCCCCAGTTAATTCAGCGAGGCTCTGTGAGATGGTCGTCACTGGAACCTGGAGAGGGCGCATTAATGAGTAGCCTCGTGGGCTAAGAGGCTGGTTTTCCTCGGCGTTGCCGTTTTGCTCTGATTGGATTTTTGTTTACGTATTGGTTGTGTTCTTTTCCCTAATTTGTGTTACCGATTGGGAAGGTGCAGGTGGTTCAAATGGGCAGCTAGAGTCATCTGATGGTGGGACCAAATCATTGCATGTTTGTGTATTGAAGGGTTTTGTGTGGCTAACATGTGCCTTTCTGGAGTGTGTGGGTGGTTTGTAGTGGATTATTGCTCTGACGTCGCGTCATCGAGTGTGCACGAGTAGTGTGACTATGGGAGTCAGCTAGTCTGTCTCCCCTTTGTAAAGGTAGCCCTGCCTTGTCGTGACTGATTTCTTTCATTGTTTTGTAGAGGTCTGTTTTTGTTTTGGGGGTCTGTAATTTTGTATTTAAGTTTTGTTTGGTTGTTTATCAAGAATATTATCATGTATGTATCTTGTTAATTTGGGCTTTTAGAGCTTGTATTATTATTTCTTCATTTTTCTGATTTACGTAATAAAATGTGTGGAAGAGAATCCACGCCTGCTGCTTAGTGCATTGGACTTGTGTGGGTGATCAACTGGACGTAGTCATGTTTTCCCCGGAAGGGTTATTCTAACCGGCCTCTGGGGTGGCGGAGTCGGTATTTGGGGGGGGGGCATAGCCCCCCCTTCTCCTTGCTGCTTTGCCACAGTAACATGAAAATGCATTTTAATACAGTACACCTAACCTAACAAACATCACAGCCTAGCCTACCTTAAATATGCTTAGCCTACAGTTGGGCAAAATCATTAACATAACGCTAACCAAACAAACTTGCCATGTGTTTAGTCACATCCTTTAAATTGGGAAGGTGAATCACCTCTCACAACCAGCAATAGCATGGAATTGAACTCAACCATAGACAGCATTTAAAACAGCACTGTCCAGGAAGCAAAGTAGCTTGTCTAAATGCTTTTTTGTGAGCAGACATAAACCCCTTGGACCATCTCAGTAATAAAGATTTCATAGGGAAATGCAAGCTGGCCTGGGGTGAAATAATGAGCCTCCTCAGTCTGGTGCAGGATGAATTAAAAAAGAAGAGCACACCAGAATTTTGCCCTCAGTCCACTGTGACTTCTGAGAGCTCTCTGCTTCTATGTCAACGGTGGATACTTGCAGACCATTGGTGTTGCACATGGTCTCAGCTGTATCCAAATCTGTGCATGCATTGATCACATTTCTATTGCACTTTGCCACAACCATTCTGAGTAGCTTTGTAGTCTTGTGTTGTTTTATGTACAGCAGCACTATGGTCCTGGAGGAACACCGTTTCATTTCACTGTGTACTGTATCAACTGTATATAGATGAAATGACAATAAAAAGCCACTTGACATGACTTGACATACAAGTTCCAGCTGTAGAGGATGCCTTGTTTGATACTATAATTGGTTTTTCATCCCATAGCAGGCATTTTAGGTGCAGTGAAAAGGTGTTGGTAATTAAGGCACCCAATAATATTTTTAACTTTTATAACTAGGATTTGGGTTTCAACCTATTACTACTGAGTTTCATTTAAAACTACTGCTTGTTTATAATGTGAAATAAATATTTTTGTAAACATGTGAAGTAATGATTTTTGTTATAAAACCAATAAATTTATATTTTTTGTATATAAGTTGCGCACAGTTATAAAATATTGCACTCTGAGACTGTTGTTATATGCCAGAGCTGGTATTTTCTGGCCAAAAAATAATACTTTGAGTTTTTACATTTATGTAATGTATTTATGGGGTGGAGTGTCCCTTTAAACTTACTTAAACAGAACCCCCAATCAATCAGTACTGAATTATCGGCTGTTGGTATCGACCAGAAATTTCCTTATTAGTGCACCACCACTTTTAACAGTGTAAATATATTACACATTTAAGAATAGGTAAATATTCTGAGTGTACCTTGGAAATTTCATCCTCATAAATGTGTGCCATGGGACTTAATGGGGTCAAGAATCAGGTATGGAACTTTCCAGTACAAGAGGGATCAGTGTTCTGTCAGCGGAAATGTTTCCCTTATTTAGAGGGCAGTGGTGAGACTCTAAATCTCTGCCCAGCCTGGGGACAGTAGGAAGGTGGCACAGAACATTCTATATTTTGATTTAACCTTGCAAAATATTCTTTCTTTTGTTCCCTGTAGAAATAATGTATATAATCTTCATTTGAATGCCGCTTTGGATGAAAGAATCTGCTAAATAAATGTATTATATGTGTGTGTGTGTGTGTGTGTGCGCGAGCGGGTTTACCTATCCTTATGGGGACATAATGTCCCCATAACGTGATAAAACTCTATTTTATAAAAATCGGTGACTGCTATGAAAAAACTAAAAATGCAAAAACTCTTGTATTTTGTTAGGTTACTTATGGTTATGGTTAGGGCAGGGTAGGGGTTAAGGTTGTCATAGTTAGCGTTAGCATTTTTCCCATTGAAATGAATGAGCGGTCCCCATAAGGATATGTTTACCCTACATGTGCATGTGTGTGTGTGTGTGTGTGTGTGTGTGTATTTCAAATGTGTAGACACATCCATCCATCCATCCATTTCCTGTGTCCTTCAAGTTCAGTGAAGGAGAATTTGATGAGCATAAATTACTAAACCACTGATTAGACCACTCTGCACTATACAATAAAAGAAGGAAAAGCTCCAGAAAGCCAGGGTAGCACACATCATAAATAGGGTGGAAATGTCAGGATGGAGAATCGATTAAAGAAAACCACTCATGCATATCTGACAATGATGCCAACTGGTTTAACAGCACTCAGAGGGAAAATGCAGCCGCTTTTTAATACCTGAAAGGAAATACTTTACGGGTAGATGCATAAGGGGTATAATGTCTACTGCATGTCTATGATCCTGTACTTTGCATATTGACCATATAAATGTCTGCATTCAAAATTTCATTTCCATTATTTATTGATTATAGAGATTTGGAAATCAATGATTAAAATATGTTCTCAGGTATTTCTGCTTCTTACTGGGTTTTTTTTGACAACCTGTATCACTTAATAATATATCTTTAGCATAATAGTCAGATTATGGCAAATTTATAGATGTGTATATAAATAGAGATCTTTTTATTAAACACATGCTTCATCCATTTTCAGCAGGGGTTATATATTTAAATGGAATTTCGATACATATTCATATTGAGCTGTTGAGTATGCTAACTACTTCTAGGATCTAGAACAGGGGTGTCAAGCTGCAGTCCTGGAGGGCCGGAGGCCTGTGTAACTTACTTCTTTTCCTGTTCCACCACAAATGATTCAGCTCAAGAGCGACGTGATAATTAGAACAAGGAGTTGAATCAGGTGTGTTAAGTGAGGGGAAACCCAAAAATGTGCAGGGCTCCGGCTCTCCAGGACTGGAGTTTGACACCTGTGATCTAGAATGCTTTCCCAGAAGGTAAAAGTTACAGGTATCTAAAACCACCCCTGTATAGTCCCCACTGAGGTCTAAGCTCTAGAATAGTACAACCAATGAACTCATTTTAAACTCAGTATTGAAATTCATTTCACAGAGTTCTGGTTGCATCAAAGGTTTTTGCTAATTCAAACAGGAATAATACAATATTCAGTAATCATGGGATTACCGCTAGTAGTATCATTTGTGCTGAAAAGTCAAAAATCAGTAGTGTTATCTTAGGGAAGGAAGTGATAACTTAGAAGGACTCGGAAAAAGCCAACTCTTTTACTTGTAACATTATAGTATTTATTTCATTTCACGAAGCCACCTTCTTAATTTAGTTTATTATTCTGGTCAAAGCTTCTGAACGGTTTCCTTCTTTTAGAATTATGTGTATGTTGCTGTCATACAAAGAGCAGAAGTGGCAATATATGTGAGTGCTAGCTGTATGTATTCTTATGAGGTCATTCCAATAACAAAAAAATCATCATACCTACATCAGCTAGCTGAGACTACACCTAAATATAGTTTCTCTCTGTGTCTGTCACTTAAAATTCTAATAATAATAGTTAAGTCATTGGTTCCTAAATCTTGCACATATTACAACATCTCAGCAATTTACAAGACGGTCAATTCCTCTCACCTTCAGCTGGACTAGGTGCACATCCACGTGCTTGTTGAGGGTGTCCTGATGAACGGAGCAGGTGAGGTTACGAACCCTTTCTGTGGTGCCCCGCAACCATGCCTCAATCTCTGGAAGATGTAGCACAACCTTCCAGTCAGCTCCCGTATGTAGGGGAGGAGGCTTCTGGTAACGCTGGATGGGGTCCTGCTCCTTTGCTGTCCCATCACTGTCCCCTTTTCCTAGGTCTTCCAGCTCTACCTTGCGGCTAGGATCCACAGTGGGGGTAACAGAGGTGATCATGGGTGAGGTGGCCTCAGTGGCCATTGGGGAAACAGCAATGCTCATGGTGAAAAGCAGAGAGATCCTGGGTGAAGGGCCTTCTCTGTCAGCTGGAGAGATGGGGGAGAGGAAAAAAGGAAGGGTTACTAATTGTCCACAGGAAAGTCAGATTGCAGTTCTCAAGCACCTGTTTTCTGCTTATGAACCGGTAAACACTTTAGAATACTCTATCTTGAAGATTTTAAGAAATAGGATTTCTATTTTCTTTGCATCTTTCATGTTTTTCCTGTTTCAGTTTTTGAATGAACAGCAGTATGAATAATATGAGTAAAAATAGATAGTTCTTGCTGGCAGGGTTTGTGTATGCATATCTTTGTATTCAAAAAGCAGTTTTGTGCTTATGAGCACCGGCATGACAATTATTTTCCGAGTTAATAATCTGGAATACTGGCACTATTCTTTTTCAAGAAATTCCTGAAATACATAATTACTTAAAGGAAATTTAAAAAGGCTGACTCTCTTGCAGCTTGAATAAATTAGATTTTTATGCAGTCTATTCCATCCATGATACAAATTTTATTTAGTTTTTCTTTCAGCCATACATTCCTTGCAAAAGATTCAAAATAATGTATGTTAACAGTAGAGAATCATAAACAGTTTTTTTTTGTTTTTTTATTGCTTTGGCGCATTTCTCGAATAACAACTAGCATTTGCAAAACAATTACTGTAATCCCCACAACATGATGTCACTTGTGCAGAACAGAACATCATTTCTCATCGTTTTGCACAAATTGCAAATACAAGAACACAAAAAATTTACAAGAAGAGGCCACTTGGCCCATCAAGCTCACTTGGGGGAAATTCAACTAACAGCTTAAAGATATTAAAACCTTATAGATCTAACACTGATTGAAAGGAACCAAATGTTTTAGCTTGCATTACACTACCAGGAAAATTATTCCAAACTCTACATGCTGCGTAAAGAAGTGCTTTCTCAAATCAGTTTAAAATATTCTCCCACTAATTTCCACCTATGGCCACAAGTTCTTGAATTTGAACTAATATTGCAGCAACTATTTGGTTGAACAGCATCCAGACCTGTTAGAATCTTATGTATCTGGATCATGTCCCCCCTTGGTCTCCTTTGCTCGAGGCTGAACATATTCAGCTCAGCTAACCTCTCATCATAAGACATTTCTCTTAGACCAGGAATCATTCTTGTAGCTCTATGTTGAACCTATTCAAAGGCAGCAATGTCCTTTTTAAGGTACGGTAACCAAGCCTGCACACAATATTATAGGTGGGGTCTTACCAAGGAATTGTATAATCTTAGCATCACCTCTCTTGACTTAAACTCCACACACCAAGAGATGTAACCCAACATCCTATTGGCCTTTTTAATTGCTCCCCCACACTAGCAAGAATGAGACATGGAAGCGTCAACATACACAGTAAGGCCTTTCTCATAATCAGCTACCTTTATTTCAGTAGAAGCCATAAAATATCTATACTTTATATTTCTGCTCCCTGCATATATTACCTTACATTTGTCTACATTAAATTTCATCTGCCAGGTATCTGCCTAGCCACTAATTAAAAAAATACAAAAAAAATTTGAAGCCTCTGTACCTCTAGTTTAGTATCTGCTACACCACCAATCGAACTTTTCATGTCATCCTTAACCTCTAATGCAACCTTCCTTTTGACATTCCTCTTAGCAAGTCTAATATTTTTAACTCAACCTGTAGACTTAGAAACTCCTGCTTTATTCCGACATCACTAGTTATATTATCCATTTGTGGAAAAGAGCCCTTTTCCTCCTGACTTTATTTTTTAATTTCAGTAATAAACCACCTTGGTGGCAGTTCCCTTATTTTTGCTTGAAATAGGTATGAAGTCCCCTTGCGCATGCAATAATGTGCTTTTAAAAACTCCCCATGCCACTTCAAAAGTACTGTTATTTAACTCCATACAGTTTACAGGTTCTAGTTTCAGTCTCATGCTATTAAAGTTAGCCTTCCTAATAGGGGTGGGCGATATACCGGTAGACACGACAAACCGGTAGAAATTTGTCAACCGATAGAGATTTTGGTCTATCGTCTTAATCGCGATTGAGATCACGTGACGTTGCACGTTTGGTAACCACGCAATACACTTTCACTTTGACAATGGAAGAAGACGGTGCAGCGGATAGTTTGCTTACATGCGACGAAACCAACAACGAGGAGACTATGAAGAAAAAAGGTGCATCGTCTGTGGTGTGGAATTAGTTTGGGTATAGGAAAAGTGATACGAATGAGACGAATGTGATTTGCAAGGTATGCAAGAGCACTGTTTTAGCAAGCGGTGGAAACACGTCAATCCTTTTCTATCATCTCAAATCCAAGCATCCAAACGAATATGGCCAAAGTCAAAAAATGCAGTACAATACATTGCAGTAAACAATATGGTTGTTTTTTTACTTAAAGTAATGCTGCAATTCACAGTTTAAATAAAATTACATTATATAAAACAGTTTCTTTGTGTTTGAATTTTTATTTATGCATTTCCAGATACAATTAGCTATATTGTGATATATATCGTTATCGAGGTAGAAAATTGCTTCTACCGTGATAGAAGATTTTGGTTATATCGCCCACCCCTACTTCCTAACATTATATATTTTTGTTTTGGACTTTGCTCTTTGGACAATAAAATTAATATGGATAAAATTAATTTATCCATATGATCACTACCGCCAAGTGGATCTAAAACCCCAAATTTTCCAATCCTATCCTGGTTATTAGATAACATAAGATTGAGAATGGCTCCTCCTATGGTAGGGGATTTAAGAAACTGACCAGAAAAGCAATCAGTTACCAATTCCACCATCTCGAGTTTGTTTACAGTAGAGCCCACTGTATCCCAGGTAAATTAAAATCACCCATAACTACCACATCATTTGTATTACTCATAATCCTGACATCATCGTATAACGTTCTGCTTTCCTCTGCAACTACATTATTTGGTCTTATAACTAGGTATGGGCCGATCAACATTTTTTCAGTTTCTATACGATTACACTACACAATTGCCTGCACCAATACAGATTCCGATACAACAGCTCTTTTTACTTTAATGTTTTAATACAATACACACAAATGCTTAAAATTCCCCACAATTATTCTCCCACTGGCATCAGCGTCACTTACATTTCATTGCGGTAGCAGCCTCTAGTGTATCACAAGCTTCAGAGAGAACGCAGAACAGCCCAAGCTAGCGACTCCCAAATCATCTATTGAAGGGGTCCCAAACTCCAGTCCTGGAGGGCCGGAGCCCTGTGTAGCTTAGTTCTTTCCCTGTTCCACCATAAATGATTCAGCTAAAGAGTTGTGTGGTAATTAGCACAAGGAATTCAATCAGGCCTGTTAAATGAGGAGAAACCTAAAAATGTGCAGGGCTCTGGCCCTCCAGGACTGGAGTTGGGCACCCCTGATCTATTGCTTTTTTCATATTACTCGTATTGTCTTTCACAATGGCGTGCGCTTTGTTTAGTGGGATTTTCCACTAAATATGCTACTCCTACCTCTCATACCTTTGATTTTACAAATATTGCAATTGCCGTGCTACTAGATGTCGTTTAAAGAGTAAAATATTTTCAGATTTATTTTTAATTTTTTTAATAACTTCAAGCAGATATACAACAAATCCAATATAAAACATCAAATATAGAGTTTAACGCTAGGGGGGAAAATCACCTATATAAAGATTCCTAATACAGAACAAGCCGTTAAAGTCCTAACTGCCTTTTGTTTTGAAGAGTACTTAATCAAACAGATGTATTGTTTGAACTCTTTCTCAAAGGCAATAAATCATGGCTTACTACTCGCAAATTTACATTTATGAATATGAAATTTTGGCATCAAAATAATAAGGTTAATTATGTAAACATGAGACTTTTTAAATGTGTCATTTTGCGTGAGACCAAATAATACGTTTTTCCACAGTAAAATAAAGTTTTTAACAATATGTTCAGAAATAAAATTACAAAGGTTTTACCAAAAATTCGTGACAACAGGGCAATGCCAAAACAAATGCACAACAGATTCCGGGTGTTCATTACAAAAGTTACAGGTAATATCAATGTCCTTTTTAAACCGTCGTTTAATAAACCATTTAGCTGGGTAGAATCTGTGAATAAGTTTAAAATAAATTTCCTTAATTTTATTGGTAATTAAATATTTATTAGGGAGAAGCCAGATCTTCTTCCAAGTCACATCATCCACAAACGGACTCCAGTATGAGATCACACAAGGTATAGTTGTAATATCTCTTTGAAACAGACTTCGTAAAGCCCTGTTATTATTACGAGAATCAATGGAAAAGCATATCTTACCCACAGGAGTATGCACCAAAGATATATAGGGTAGATGTTGGGCAACCCTAATTCTCGGCTGAGATTTAAATAGCATATTAAGACCAGAAGGTATTGCACCAAAGACTTTTGCATAATCCCCTGGAGGTATAGGAATTTTATATTCTGATAAGAACTCCTGATACGTGAAGAGAAGACCATCCTTATTAAATAGCTGATCCACCAATACAATATTATTATCAAACCACTGCTTCATAAAGAGAGATTTATGCTTATACAAAATGTCCTTGTTATTTCATATATAATAATTATGAGGAGAAAAATTATGTTTGTAGATAAGAGACAAAGACAAAAAAGCCTGGCGATGAAATGCAAACATTTTAACAGGAATTTTATCCATATCGTAATTACAGACAAGAAAAAAATGCAAGCCACCTAACTGAGATAGAATGTGAAAAGGTATAACATTACAAATGGAGGTAGGATGTCGAAAAAAATTCTTTAGCCAATTAATCTTAAAAGTATTATTTAAAGTACAAAAATCAAGAAAATTAAGACCCCCATTTTCATAAGCATTCATAAGAACACTCTTCTTTAAATAATGGACCCTATTTTTCCACAAGAAGTTGAAAAGCATTTTATCAATCTCTTTTAACATCTTACCATCAAGATGTAGAGCCAAAGCTGCATAAGTCAATCGAGAAATTCCTTCTGCTTTTGTAAGCAATACTCTACCTCTCAATGATATGTCCCTTG